CGCCCCGCCCCGCCCCGCCCCGCCGCGCTGGCTCCCACTCCCAGCCCCAGGACCCACCGAGGCCCGCAGAGACAGCTCCCCGCCAGCTGGGAGCTCGGACAAAGTCGGGGAATTTAGATCCGGGAGGTTTTCCTTCAGTTACCGTAGTTGGTTGGTTTTGGAAACTCTCAGAAGAGCAGGGACACTGTTGGTAACAATAAACTAAATGTCAGCAATGACAGACAACTGGGAAATAGGAGGTGGCAGACGCGTTGTCACGGACCCGGCAATTAAAGATCAAGATCTCTTTCCCCTCCTCCCCTCCCTCCGTCTTTCCGTTTTTTTTCGCTCTCCTTTCTTTTCTCTCTCTCTCTCTCTCCTCCCTGCCCCCACCCTTGTCCCCATTTCCACTCTACCCCAATATTTCACAGAAGGAATCAAGGAAGAAAATGAAACACATTGGTTAGAATTGTACAAATTACTTTCACATTAGAACTTAAAACCCAATGACATAGGAATGTGCTCCTATCCCTCCTACTTTTCCCCCTCATCCTAAAAGGGTATTTGGAGATTTAAATTTGTAAGAAAGAAAGGGCTTGATTTACTTCTTTCTCTCTCTTTTCATCTATCATAGCAAATTGCTTCTCACCCCAACCCTAATACTCTTAGATTATCATCTACCTGAATCCAGGTACAAAAATGGAGATATCTTTTTCAGAATAACAAACATTAAGGACAGGGGTTAATGGGTTCTAGATCAAAAGCGTTTTAATTTTCTTGGCAACTGATGAATAAGGACTTATTTATTGGGAAGCTTTTCTGAATAAAATTGCTTGGGTCATGATCACACAGAAAAGTCATATCAATTATGGGTTTCAGTAAACAAATTACATACAAAAATGCTTTAAAACCATGGTCCCTTATCAGGCCATTCCTAGACTCTTAATCCCACCAAAGTGTGCAACCAACTGCCACAGAGAAAGAAATTCCTGCCTGACCCAAGAAAATGAATTTATCCACGCAGTGTGTCATTCTTCTCTCTCTCTTTTTTTTTAATGGGCCAGTTATTTAATAAGATCCTTTGTAGGAAATTTAGAGCACCAGCTTGTGAGGGTGAATTCCATTGATGAGAGCAGACAGAGTAGAGGTAGCCCTGGAGTTGAGGAACAGCCTAGATTTTGGCAGATTTTGTGAGTCCGCAGCTCTCTGATCAGCCTTGCTCTGTTGTCTCATATTTCTCTTCTGTGTGGAAAAGCTCACCTTCCTGGCATAAGGACTCACACAGTAGCTTCTTGAAGGCAGCATCAGTGAGACGATTTGGGATTTCACATCATTGTAATGACACATTTCTGGTATATCTTACTCAAGGGAACTTGATTTAGAGACAGGGTCTAGTCACAAGCATAAGCTGTAGGTCAGCTGCTTCAGGAAAGTCACTGCTGTCCCATACAGTATCCAGTAGGGATGACTAGAATGGCCCAGGAGTGAGGATCACTTGCAGCTTTCTCATAAGCCAACTGAAAGGGTTTTTGCCTTGGTTCAACAGCTTTAACACAGATTTGGTAGGATATGATCTAGGCATTTTGTGAAGTTCAGTCACTCAGGTACCTCCATTCTTGATACCACCAACCAACTGGTTTTGTGACAACAGAAGAAACTTCTTTTTCTTTTCAATCCCATATGTAGCTGCTGAAAATATCTGTGTGTCACCCTTCTGGATACAGAGCAGATCAGGGCTGGTTCTTCTGATGGGGACAGGGTTCTGGCTGCAGTGGGGCTTCCCCTTCTGAGGTGTTTTGGCTTAAAGTTCCCCTTCTTAACCTTGCCACCAGCATCAATTTTCTTGACTTCAGTTTTCTTTAATAGCTCACTTCTCAGTTTTTTTGCCCACCATCTTGCAAGATGGGAAAGAGAATGGAGGCTGTCATTTCTATTCCTGATAATGGGCTATACACACCAAACCAGAACCTGGAATCCAGCCTAAATTTTACCCTCACTCCCCTCATATGTGGGGGGACACTTCCAAGTCCTACACATTCTATATAATGCCTCGATTACCCCCCCACAAACACAAATCCCACTGGTACTGTCACAGTATCACAGACTCCCAATTGTCCCCAACCTCCAGTCCCACACACTTTTCCTCCAAACTGCTTCCCCAGTGCTTTTGGCGAGTTCAGTCTATCCAGTTTCATTGCCACTTAAGAGGAAGCCTCCCCAGAAACAAGCCACAACAGCACCATTATTGTGCACATGTGCCTCCAGAACTGTGAGAAAATAAATATTTGTTGTTAAAGTCACTACTTGACAGTCTGAGAAGATTGATAGGAAAAGTAGACATTAGGTTCTAAAGTCTTGGGAAAGTACTACCCTGCCATCAAGCCTGAAATGCCCCTTCAAAGCAGCCTACACAAACTTGTGGGATGCCAGCCCAGGGGCAGAGTACATGCATGTGACCAGCGATCACACAATCTTTCCACCATCCTCTGAGAAAAGTGGAAATCTGCAGCGCCTCTCATAGACTGGGCTATGACTGCCTTCAGGCTCATGGTTATGGCCTTATTCCTTGTATCGGGAACCATAATTTCTTATAAACCAAAACTAGTAAGGAGTAATCAGATATTTACTCTAAACTTTTTTTTTTAAGATTTATTTATCATACAAGAACTGGGTACAGGCAAGAGGTGTGGGGGTGCAGGTGGAGGATTCACCAGAGACAGACTAGGGAATAGAACAGGCAGATTTACTGAAACACACTGCTGAGGGGAGCAGTGGGTGGGTCAAAAGAAGTCTGCTGCACCACATAGGTCACTTCCCTAGCTAGGGGTTGAACTCATGCTACAATGGCTGCTAGCTCCATAGTGCTGTGCTTCAATCTTTTGTGCAACCAGGGAGGGCCCCACCCTGAACTTCTTGATTCAAGGTTTATTCAAAGACATGACACCAACACCCATTTATTAAGCCCACTGTTTAGGGATGAATACTTCACATTCCTAGGCAATCTTTGGACAATTTTGATCCAAGCCAGATCAAATGCCCAATATGGAATAGGGTCTCTGGGGTGACTCTGAATGCACCCCCTAAACTAGAACCCTAAGATTGAGGGCTAAAATGCAGTTTGTACTTGTGTGCATACCATCCAGCACCCATGTCTGGCACACGGTAGGTACAAGGAAGATGTTCACCAGGTGAAGAAGCCTGGACTTTTAGGATATAGTTAGGCCTCCCAAAGTGATGCTGAGTAACAACTATATCCCATGGTGTCAGTATTCTGGATCCCAAATTCTGAATATGGCCAGGACTCCAGGAAAGTTAGGTGAGCCAGTAACCCAGAATTGGGCTACCACAAGGGCCTTTCCTGACAGGCTTTCTCCAAATATAGTACAAGGAAAACATGCTTCAGAAGTGTTTTTCTTTAGTCACTTCACCCACCATTGGTGATATATCCCCACATTACTGGGAAATACACATGATAGTTTTCCATTCTATAAAATGTACCCACAAAATCACCCAAGTACTCAGCTATAACCTCATCCTTTTAATTTGACATGAAGCCTTTAGAATTCATTCCTAAGGAAAACTGAATAAAGCAGAGAAAAACATTTGGGAACATTAAGTGGCGCAAAAATGTCAATTTAGAATAAAATATGTTGTTTTTTTAGCTCCTACTTTGATATTTTTCCCTATGTAAAATCTTGAAATTACTTGCTTATGCCCTAGCCATTATTCTGAAATGTTCCAGAGAGTTGAGAAAGGATTAACAGTGCCCTAGAGGAGGAAAATTTATTTTCATGCATATACTCTTTCAAATCTTAAATTTGGTACTGTGTACATGGACATTTGAATTGGTAATAACCCATTCAAAAAGAAGGAAAATTTTAATTTTAGAGTCATATTTATAAAGTCATGTTCTTTAATATCTGCATCATTATCACCATTTAATATACTCTTAAGTTAGTAACTTAAGAAATGATTTACTCAAAATGCTGTGACCTGGACTAGGCTCAGCTGGGATATGTGATTTCTGCTCCATTGGGTCTTATGTGGGTGCTACCAAGCATGTGCTTGTCCACGGGTGACCGTGGACAGGTTTGTCCTGGGTGGCCTCGTAGTGGTGGCGCTCTCCACTTGATGTCTCAAATGCCCTCCATGTGATCGCAGCAGGTTCATTGGGACTATCTCCCAGGGAAGCTGGATCCATTAAGAAGAGGCTGTTAGGTCTCCAGAGGTCAAGGCTTGAAATCTTTCATTGCAAGCTATAATTCAATCTCAGAGCCAGACCAAATCCAAAGTATGGGAAAACAAAAAACACTCCTTGATGGTAGACTCTAGGGAGCTGAGTAGTAGGATAGGAGGAATTGTGGTTATCTTTGCAAATACATAAAAATTTCCACAGAAGTTTTCCAAGAGTCCGAGTCAATGTCTGAAACTGTAGGTAGTATTGACTTTATATGTACTATGTTTTTTCCTATACATACCTACCTATGATAATGCTAAATTTATAAATTAGGCAGAGTTTAAGATTAACAACAGCAATCCTAGACATAGAACAATCTTAGAATAATAGAACAATTATAACAATATATAGTAAAGGTGATATGAATTGGTCTCTTTCTCCAAATATTTGTTTGTACATAATATTTTCAAACTGAAATTGACAGTGAGCAACTGAAACTATGGCTAAGGACTACTTTACTTTATAACTCTTGTATTGCTAGTAAGTAGTCAAATGCCATTTATGTGATACAGTAAGATAAATTCATGGAGAAATGAATGAAGGCTAAGGTAGGGCAGAAGAGATCTAAATCATGACTACTGCCAACTAGCCTATGACTTTGGACAAGATATTTAACTCACTAT